AAAGGCTGATGAGATTTACATCAGTTTTATGTGATACCAGGCACATAGCATTATATGGTATGGGAAAAAATATCTGCAATATATTGAGTAAAATGTTGGAAAATTATGTGTATGTGTGCATTTACACAAATACATCTATATGATTCAAAATTACACATAAAAATATTGGAAAGACGTGTACCAAAAGGACAACTGTGGTTATTAGCAAGCAGTAAGTTATAAGGTTACAGTGACTTAGTTTCCTTCTCTGGGTGCTTCTGAACTTCCCCAAGTTTCTACAATTAACTAATACATGTAAAAATCAGAGAAAAGGTTTCCTTAGACTTTTTTCTCAGAAAACAATGTTCTTGATGGAGTCGTGTTACATACAAAACTTGTGACAGTGATAATGATAATAGCTAATACTTTTCAGCATTGTTTATGTGCCAAACGCTGTAGTAAGTACATTACAGAACTGCCCACTGAGTCCCTGCACTCTATGCTGGAGGCACTGTTCCCACCCCCGTTTTGTAGATGAAAAAGTTCAGGTGGTTCGTGGGAAGTCACACAGCTGCTAAGTGGCAGAGCCCAAGATGCGAACCCTGGGGGATCTGACTCCAGAAATACCTCTCTCATGTGGCCACTAGAGTTCCTGTCTCCAGCCACATTGCCTCCCAAAACCCTAACCTTTCTGTTCTTGATTTTTATGTCTTCCACGCTTTTCTGATTCTAACCCTTTGGGGAGGGGATAGAAATAGACAGCATTCGCACTTCTCGCACGACATGAAAGTCAGGCATCCGCCACAGGTCGTACCTCTGCTTCCAACGCACACACCTGCCCCAAGGGGACCCGGGAACATGCAGACCTGGATGGAGACGAACACTGACCACTGGGCAACCCTCCCCGCATTATCAGCCCTCGCGGCACCGCGGACCTCTGCTTCCTGTCCTCATTGCAGTTTGGTTTTACACTTGCTTGTTACTTGATTGCTTACTACCTGCGGGCACTACTCTGAGCACTTTACATGTGCTACTTTTCTTTTCACCATTATTGTCCCCATTTTACACAGAAGGAAACTGAGGCCTAGAGAAGTTAAGAAACTTGCCCAAGGTTGCCGAGCTCGGAAGTGATGGAGCTAGGCTTGACCTCTGGCTCCAGAGGCATCACTCTCAAAATGAATGAATGACGGTATACTCCCCATTTTCTAAAACACCTACTATCTCTTATTAGGACTATCTAATTTTATTTCTGTAGGACCTGTTTCTCATACATCATATTTCTAATATTTTGATTTCTTATTATAATTAGAAATTTTTAACTATATTTCCTAATCAGTTATTTGAGATATCAAGATTTACCTGTCTGTAACTTTGTAAACTTTTTATCATTTTATTTTAGTTTATTTTATCATGATGAATGTCCTCTAAAATCCCCATCCCCTATTTCCTCCATCCCTCCACCCACCTTCCCTCTGATAACCATGAGTTTGTTCCCTATAGTTAAGAGTCTGTTTCTTGGTTTGTCTCTCTCCCTAGTTTCCTTTGTTTCTTAAATTCCACATATGAGTGAGATCCTATGGTATTTCTTTCTCTAACTGACTTATTTCACTTACTATAATACTCTCTAGCTCAATCGATGGTGTTGCAAATGGCAAGATTTCATTCTTTTTATGGCTGAATAGTATTCCATTATATACATATTTATCTTCTTTATCCATTCATCCATCAGTGGACACTTGGGCTGCTTCCATAGTTTGGCTATTGTAAGTAATGCTGCAATAAACATAAGGGTGCATGTATCCCTTTTAGTTAGTGTTTTTGTATTTTTGGGGTAAATAACCAGTAGTACAATTCCTGGATCATAGGGTAAGTTCGATTTTGGGGCACCTGAGTGGCTCAGTCGGTTAAGCATCTGCCTTCAGCTCAGATGAGTCCCACATTGGGCTCCTTGCTCAGCAGGGGACAGTCTACTTCTCTCTCTCTCCCTCTCCTTCTGCCCTTCCCCACCACTCATTCTCTCTCTCTCTCTCTCTCTCTCTCTCAAATAAATAAATAAAATCTTTAAAAAATGGGTAGTTCTATTTTTAATTTTTTGAGGAACCTCCATACAGATTTCCACAATGGCTGCACGAATTTGCATTCCCACCAACAGTGCAAAAGATTTCCCCTTTCTCCACACCCTCACCAACATGTGGTTTCCTGTGTTGTTAATTTTTGTCACTCTGACAGGTGTGAGGCGATATCTCATTGTAGTTTTGATTTGCTCTTCCCTGATAATGAGTGATGGTAAGCATCTTTTCATGTGTCTGTTGGCCATCTGGACGTCTGTAACTTTGTAAAATTACTGAACTCTCTCACTAACTGTGATTTCAGTTCTCCATTATTTTAGCTACATAATTTCTTTTTTTAAAAGGTTTTATTTATTTATTTGACAGAGAGAGAGCACAAGCAGGCGGAGCGGCAGGCAACAGAGAGAGAGCACAAGCAGGCGGAGCGGCAGGCAGAAGGAGAGGGAGAAGCAGGCTCCCCACTGAGCAAGGAGCCTGACTCGGGACTCAATCTCAGGACCCTGGGATCAGGACCTGAGCCGAAGGCAGCCGCCCAGGTGCCCCTATTTTAGCTACATAATCTCTTAATTTCTATAAATAATAATTTTGTCTCCTTTCCAACATGAAGATATCATCTTTCTCAACTAATTTTTATTTTGTTTAAATTTAATTTTTTATTTTAATTTGAACTTAATCACAACTTTTTAAACTACATCCAAAGACATGTACTGCCTACCTTCAGTCTCTCTTTACCACCTATTCCCTCAGGCCCAAGCCATCTGCCATGACACCAAGAGAGCCACTTTCCTAAGTCACAAATACGCCTCTTTCTCTCTAATACTAGAAGTCTGCACCACCTACATGTTTTATATCTCAGCATAATTGTTACCTTTTATAATATGGCCCCAAACTACCTTTAAATCTTCCTTTCAACCAGGACTCCAAAATGCCCCTCACTTGTCACTCCTTTTCTCATGATTTGCCCAGATGGTCCTTCCCTATTTTCTTCCTTGGGACAATGGTTTACTTTCTGGGGCCAAAACACCTGCTGCCTCTTCTCTGGCCCTCCCAAGCTCTCCCTGCCATTTCACCCCTACTCCTCCTGTATCTCCAGGGCACCAAGCACAAACCTCTGTCATGACACCTGTCAGAGCCCAACTGGAACGTGGGTACTCATTTAGAGCAGAGGTCAGCAAAATTCTATGGAGCTTCAAATGGTAAATATTTTAGGCTTTCTGGGCCATATTTGATGTCTTGCATTTTTTCCTTACGTTTTAATAATATAAAAATGATTCTTAGCTCATAGGCCATTAAAAAAAAAAAAAAAAAAACAAGCCACCAGCTATGGGCCATAATTCACCTATTCCTGGTTTATAAGTTCGTCTCTCCCACTGGATAGTAAGCTACCTGAGAGAGGGGATCATCTCTTATTCACTTTTGTATTCCCCAGCTCCTGCCCCAAAGAAGGTCTTCAATCCTTGAAGTCAACTGAACTGAAACACCAATAATTAATTTATCCTGATGACTCAAATACATCCCTAGACAATTTCCCCAAATCCTGAACCACTTAACAAAAAGTCATTATGCATTTTGAGTCTCTCAGGCATCTCTGGGCCTTAAAAGTAAGCTATATCTCCAGGTGAGGGGGGAGGTGATGCTTTCTGCCTCATTTAGTAAGAAAACCTCTGATGTTCAGCCAAGGAGCCTCTCCCTCCCCAAAGGCAGCAAAAGTGCTTCTCCTATGAGAGACTAGACCGTTCCCCGAGCTCCCACGAGCTCGGAGTTCCCCGAACTCCAGCAAACTCCTGCTTTTCAAATAGTCAAATCAATATTTTTTAAAAGATTTTATTTATTTGATAGAGAGAGAGACACAGCGAGAGAGAGGGAACACAAGCAGGGGGAGTGGGAGAGGGAGAAGCAGGCTTCCCGCCGAGCAGGGAGCCCGACGTGGGACTCGATCCCAGGACCCTGGGATCATGACCTGAGCCGAAGGCTTGGCGCTTAACCATCTGAGCCACCCAGGTGACCCTCAAATAGCCGAATCAATTTCTCATCTCAGGAAATGATCTAGACTTGATGGTGTTTGGAACACTTGCCAGATATCCAACCCAGCTGCCGACAATAGCTCTACCTCCCATCTCACCATAATTGGGGAAGAAGCATTTTGCTAAGTCATTAAGTACCAGAGAATCGCTATCCCCCTGCTCCCTGGTTCTCCCAACCAGAAGAAGTGCTCCAGAAAAGTGACAATCATTTCCCACACAGAAGCTCCTGAACTCACATGATGTGTTTATGAACTGACATAAACTGACATACGAACTGCCCAGCACAGAGTCCCATCAACCCAGCCACCTCCAGCCAACCAGGGGAGCAAGGACACGGAACTCCAACTCAGCAGCCTCACCCACCCACACGTATGCTGCTCCAGGCTCCTCCTGGAGGGGCTTCCCAAGCACAGGGAAACCCACTGGGCGCAGTAAATGCAAAATCAGAATTACAATGCGCTCATAAGAAGAGTGCTAAGATCACAAATGGAAACTCAGGCGTGAAAAATGACACGCGGCAAGTGCACGCGGAATGGGTCAGAACCAGCTTGATAGCGATGGAGACGCAGTTGACTCTTCCAGCAGAGGCGTTTACAAGCAGCCCTTTCAACCTGGCCTGTGTACAAATGGAAGAGCTCCCTTGCTCACAATCACCCTTGGCTCACAACACGTTCCAAGCCGCTGGGGGCCTGCTCTGTGTCCTCTCCGCGCCGGCCTCGCCCCACTAGCCTGGCTCACGCTAGTGACGAAGGAGAGAGACGTTTGCTCCTGAAAATTAGGGGGTCCGGTTAAATGGTGGGACTGCCACCTACACATGGAAGCAAAGAAACCAACCCAAATAAAACTTTAAATCAGTCAACTAACAGCGCTTTACTAATCATGCAAAAAAGTAGATATAAAATAGAGAATAGAAGGTGTGGTACGTTACCCAAAAGCCCTGCCAAGGACCGCATGTCCTTCTCCATCAGCATGTAAATTTCTTCCTCTGAGAAGCGGCCAATGCCGTGGCCGTGCATCTCGCGCTTCACAATTCCTTTCGTTATGTGGCACACGACCCACCTCAGCAGGTTACTGAAGGGACCGCCACCACTAAGAGAGAGCATCTTCCGGGTCTCATTGAGATTGTCCACCCACTGGCAATAAGCTAACGTCCTGGAATTGTGTGGAAACAGGTTACTACTGGGCATTAGATGTACGTCAGCTCCTCAAGAGTCCATTTCCAGTGAGTGCATCACAAGTCAGAACACTCTAGAGGAAATGAGCCAGAGCAGCTTTACAAAGAGCAGTCTCTGCAGATATGACAACAGCTTCTGGCCAGTGCCTAGACTTCGGGTCTGTAAGAGAAACTAAAACAAATCCAGATAACGATGCCATGCTACAATTCCACCAAACATCTCCGGGCCCCCGCCCTCAGATCCACGCCCCTCCCCCACCTCCCAAGGCCGGCTTCTGCATCTTCTTAGGCAACCCCACAGAAAACAGGAGAAACCCACTTCCAAAGGTTTTGAGGCAGAACTGTGCGTACCCATGGGGACACCAGGAAGGAGGCACAGAGACTACGGGGCAGGCTTCGTTCTCGTTCTTGATCTGAGGAATGGGTATGCAGATAGATGCTCTGTGTTCATTAATTAAGCTGCACCTTTTTGTTTTGCACAATTTGTGTATGCATTTTGGATTTTACCATATCAAAGAGTTGTTTGAAAAAGAAAACTTTTGCCTTTTTGACAGAGGATTACGGAGTAGATATACCTATCCAAGGTTGGTATAAACTATATAAATTATAAATATTATGTATATGATTTGCTCTCCAGAAAGTCTGGAGAACTGTTTCAGTTTGTGCTCCTGATCTCTAAAGTGAATACGAAGACCGAAGGAACTCAGTTGAGTCACTTTTCCCATCTGGGTGGTGCTTGTGGCCAACTCTCCTGTCCAGGTGTTGCCATGGAACACGGAGACACAGCTGAGCAGCAACTCAGTTCATGGGGGCTGCCGGCTATGACACTCGGGCCTTGGCTGATTCTGGGCTCTGAACCTATGCAACTGCAGGAATGTCTCTATGGCTAATAGTGTCGGTACACAGAAATTAAAAGGGGTTCCTACTGACGGCTGAGAAAAATGTAGCTGTGGGAGTGCCAACAGAAGATATTTTAGTTTTTCCCCATAACGAGCAAAAAAAAATGTACTGGCAGTCGTCTCTCCTCCTAGTGTTGGTTCATAGAGCAATAATGGCCACTTCGAAAAAATCAAAAGAGTGAAAAATATTTTTACAGAGAAAACACAAGGAATTATAATAAATGATAGCTATTTTCCACCTCAATTTTTTAAAGAAAAAAAAAAGCCCCTGAAATGTTGATCATTTTGTATAGTCCTACTCTTTCCACTGTTCTTTCCTCTACAAAAAAGAAAATAAGAAACAGAAGATTTCTCTAAAAGTTTTTAAGCATTCCTGATTTTTACTGAAAAGTCCTACAACCAATTTCAACATAACTCTCTGCACTATACCCAAAACTCTTCTTTATTACCTTTTTAAAATAATGCCTATAAATCTTGTTAAAAAGCTCTGTGTAGGGGAACCTGGGTGGCTCAGTCGTTAAGCATCTGCCTTCGGCTCAGGTCATGATCCCGGGGTCCTGGGATCGAGCCCCGCGTCAGGCTCCCTGCTCCGCGGGAAGCCTGCTTCTCCCTCTCCCACTCCCCCTGCTTGTGTTCTCTCTCTCGCTGTGTCTCTCTCTGTCAAATAAATAAATAAAATCTTTAAAAAAAAAAGAAAGCTTTGTGTACTTCTTTTTAATAAGTCTCTCAAAATAAAGCATTGAGTCAAGAAATGGATTTTGCTGAATATAGGAAAAAGTACATCGCAACGGTAACTAATACATATGGACAGAGAAGTCAATGGATCTTTTGACATAAAAGATCTCACATTTACTCTAGTAAATTCTTTATAAACATGCAAACTTAATACTTTCCTACTTGCTCTTCTTTTTACACCTGCAGTAATTAAGGTATCAATTTTCTCATTCCATTAGAATAATTCAGCACTTTGATTCAAGTTGTACTAGATTGAAAGGCACAATAAAAGAGCTTGACCATCCTTGATTATTTCGCAAGTCCATGAACTGAGAATAAAACTAGATTAGCCCAAAACAAGCGTGACCAGGTCATAAGAGCATCCAGGAAGTGTCTAAAGAGTAAAAATGAGGAATGTGGTGGTTCTAAACTGACAGGTTGATGTGAAAAAATACATTCTTTGTACGGGTTTCATCATAAGCCTAAGTGGTCCTGAGGGATGAGCAGAAGCTCACCAGGCAGAGCAGAGGAGGAAGGGTGTGCGTGAGAAGCACCGGCCAGGGCGCACGGGATGCCTGGGCAGAGGATGGCAGGGTGGGCCAGGACCAGATCCGGGTGCGCCTGAGACAAAGGGTGCTGAACTCTATTCTGGAAGCAAAGTTGAACCACTGAAAGGTTTTAAGCAGACAAGAAATGTAATCAGGTTTGAGGCAATGTGAAGGCTGGGTTGGAAATGGAGAAACCACCAGTAGGAAGGCTGGCTAGAAGACTCTGGCAAGACCTAAGAACTAGGGCAATGGGGGTGGGAGGGAGGGTGTACAGGGAATGCAGAGGAGAAACTCTGGGGTATGAGAAAAAGAGTCTATGTACCAAAGTATAAGGAGAGATTAAGTCTTTTCTCTCAGGCCGATGACTTGAGGGGATGATAATGCCATTAACCAATATGGGCAGGTACACACGAGGTATGACAGATGTAGATGATGAAAGATGCATCAAGCTGTTGCATTTGAAGGCCCCATGGAACCCCCAGATGAGAATGTCCAGAAGGTTGAGAACTCAGGAGACAGGTTTAGACTCAAGAGAGAGAACTTGCGGGGGAGGGCACGTCAGCAAGAGTGCTAAAGCTGTCAGAGGAGAGGAGTCACCTAAGGAAGTTGCTAGGGTGAGGAGTGGTGTTAGGGAATCCACAGGTCAAGGGCAAGTTAGAAGGTGAGACGGCCAGGCTGGAAGGGCCAGCTTGGAGAGAAGCAGAGACACCTCTTGCTCTGAGATAGAGAGGAGGAGAGTGTCGCAAGGGGTAAGGGGCTGCAGAGAGGTTCAGAGTTCCTGCCAGGTGACTTCAGTTTCCTCCGTAGAGCAGGAAATGGGGGCATGTGCCCAGGATGAGGATGCAATGATGGAGAGAGAGCTTTGCACAACTAATGGGTTCAAGTAGCAGATGGGGATGGAAGAGGCAGCTGTCCTGGGTCGCACGGCTAAGCTAGAGGAACACCCACTGATGCAATGGCGTAAGGTTCTCTACCTCCATTAGTGGGTGGAATGGAGGGCACAGAAGGGGGAACACTGGGTTGATCTGGAATTTTGCAGCTAGAGGTTACCTGAGAAACTGTCTGGTCTTCCTCTCTTCTCTTTTCCACCCTGCTCTTGATTTCTTTCCTCTTTCACTCCCTGTGCCTAATACTGCAGCCCAGTGTCAGGGAAGAGAAGCAAATGATGGCCAGCCAGGCTCTGTAAGGGTCAATCTCTATGAAGTGGGTTCAAACTTTAAACACCAAAGAAAATGGGTAATTTATGGAATCCTACATTAATCACTACAGGCAGCAAACCTCATTTACACATGCTTCCAAATCCTTAAAACCAAGAATCCACCTCCTTACATAACCAAGCTTCCGGCAAACTGTGAACACTTGACGAAACTACTCTCATCCAAATCAACGATACCTCCTTGTTGCAAAACCCAAATAAACATTCCTTTTTTTTTTTTTTTTTCTTTTCAAGGAGCCCAACACGGGGCTTGAACTCATGACCCTGAGATCAAGACCTGAGCTGAGATCAAGAGTCAGATGATTAATTGACTGAACCACCCAGGTGCCCCTAAACATTCTTTGTATATTTCTCTTTCTTGAACTGTCTGCAACATGTGACGCTGTCCGTGTCTTTCGTAGAAGAGCTCTCCCTTAGCTTACATCGCTACTGCTTTTCCCACCACTTCGTGCATGTTCCCAAGATCTTCATCACTATTCTTCCTATTTCTTACTCCACACTTGTGGCATGATCTAATTCACACCCGTGATTTCACACTGATGATTCCCAAACCTACACCCAGCCCAGATCTTTCTCCTGACACCCAGGGATCCATGTGAGGGGTCCTCAGGAACTGCGAACCCGTATTTCCAAACTTGGACTCATGATCTTCCTTCCCTTCAAATCTGCTTCTCCTCACCCAAGCCAGAAAGAATACCAGGACTCGTTCTTCCCTGCTCTCTATCCTTCGTTCCTGATAGCCGGTCACCCTGTGAATTTGCCCTTTTCTCCAACTCAATTAAGCATGTAGCTCAGCCCTTCATCATTTCTTGGCCCTGAGCAGAGTGGCCTCCTAACAGGTCTCCTGACATCCCCTAAGGCCCTTCAGAAATCCATTTGTCCCAAGCAGTCACAAAGAGCTCCTAAAACACAAATCTAGTCCTATCAGCCTGCTTCTCAGAGCCATTCATGAACCCCCCCTAGCTCCTGAGCTCGGCACACCGCCCCCACTCCCTACAGTCTGACTCACACTCAGCTGGCCATTCTCCAGCCCCATCCCACCTCCCCCCCGCCACTGCCTCCTGTGCACCTGCCACACAGAATTACAAGTGCCTTCCCAGGCTCCTCGGTCTTACCTCTGAACTTTTGCCGATGCTGCTCCCTCTGCCTAGATATCCTAATCTTTCCCCTGACGCCCAGCCCCTTCACCGACCACTGACAGTCCCTCCTTTCGTTTGTGATACCATCTCCTCTGGGAAAGCCTTTCCCTCACCACTCCAGCAGGTGCTTGGCTGCCTTTCCTCAGTTCTTCAAACTCTCCCCCAGCACCCACCGTTATGATGGCTCGACGTCTCCCTCGGCCTGGGAGTCACGGGAGGATGGAGACAGCGTCTTACCGCCTCGCTTCCCCCAATCCAGCATGGAGCCTGGCCACTAGGCGTCAGTCATTCATTAAGTTTACTGAAAGAATGAATTATTGATTGAAATGTAAAAAAGCTTCACTTCTGAGCCAGCTACTGCTAAGTAGCATTTCTAAGGGTTGACAATATTTAAACAGAATGAAGGAAAAAGAGACATGCCTTTGAAAAATGAAGAAGGGGCTGACTGTTCTCTTCTGAGATCCGTGTCACTCTCTACTCGGAAGAGGCCCACTGCACAAGGAGTCGTGAATCTTGAGCTGGTGAGGGCAAGGAGGGCCAACCTGGAAACTAGACGAGGCTGAACAATTAAGTCGTCACTCTGAGAACCTCTTCCAGAAAGTTGATACTCATTTCCTTTAAACAACTGATGTACCTGATCTCTTCTGCAAAATGGGGTCAGGGTTTCTCTTAAAGATTGATTACCTTAGTCAGAACAGAAGAATAAATACTGTTCAATATTTTTAAAGGAGATCAAGAAGATAGGAAAGAAGAGCCGACCCCTGGTGTTTCAATGAAGATATCTCTCCTCATAACCTAAAAGGAGCCCTGGCCCGTAGCAGAGATGATATTAACAAGTGGGAAAGTGCAAACCATGGCAATCTACTGTTTGATGAGTGAGCCTTAGCATGTGGCCTTCCTGACCATGGACACCTTTCTCCATGTCCTGCTCCATCCCTGTCATTGTTTGTTTGTCTTTTAAACGCATGGCGTGCAGGGGCATATGATAAGCTTCTGTGATTTCACCGAGTTGCACAGGCCCTAGACCAGCCCCTCCCAACAGGAACTCTCACTATATCTGAAATTAGGGGCAGGGGGAGCAGGGAAGAGGGAAACACATTAATCCAATTGTAATCAGGGAGAGAGAGACTCCTGGTTTTTAGATAAGATCTTGGGTAAGTCATTTAGTAAGGATCCTACCTCCCCCATGCAGTGAAACTACACCAAAAGCCAAATTCAGAATTTAAAAATCATGGCCAACCTAGAAGCAAATTTGAATTCCCTGTTCTAACGCCTATATTTTAATGGATCAAAGTGGTATGACTAGATGGCTTGCCACAGTGCCCTCACGCCTCCCTACAAGACTCTTACCACACCAACGTGTCATATGGAAGAAGCCGTAGTGTCTGTTCCCAAAGCTCAATTTCAGTCCACTAATTTGACCCCGTGTTTCTCGTACTGCCCTCCATACCAACTTGCCTGCATTGGATCTAACTTAAGCACTCGGGGAAACAAAGAGGATAAAAATCTGTCTTCCTCATGTTCAATAATAGTCATGCAAGTGGAACACGCTGGTATGGATTTCAAGTTCAAGAAAAACCTCTTTGTAGCATGTGCTTATTTGAACAAACCAGAGTGTGCTTATTTGGACAAACCAGAATTAGAGCCTTGGGATGATGGGATGGTATTTATGTAAAAATGCCAGTTTTCCATTGTCTTTGATTTTCAGAAAATCATACCTGGAGGGTTTTTACAGTTTCAGACCAAAATAAACATATCTGAAAACTCCAGATAATTCGAATCAAATGAGTCAAACAATTGATTTCATCTCCTCCACCGCTGTAAACACAGACACAACCTTGGAGATCGAGCATTGTCAGAATTTAACAAGCTCTCATGAAAAGCTCATCCTTATATTTTTCTACAAATGGTGGTCCATTTCTCATGCTGGCCCCAGTTTCCACAGGTGCACATTTTGTGTGTGGCCTCTGAGATAAGAAAGGGGGAGCAGGAGAGGAACCTGACGAAGAGTGTCCACAGACTCTCTGTCTCAGGCATTTTCTTACCGGAGGGACAGGGGTCTTTTCTCCTTTGGGATTTAGAGCTCTAGGGAAAGCCTGTTCAAGGTCCCCCAAAGCAAGAACATGGCTAAAGGTTGGGAAACCTTATGAAACAGAGGAAGGCTTGCTTTCCTTCTGCTGCTAGGAACCAAAGGGAATTGAAGGAATTAGGAATTTTTTTGGAAAGTTCACTGGACATTTGTATCTCTGTCAATATCTGACCTCCCATCTTCACTATTTCTTTCTCAAATTAACCTTTGAGGAGAAACACATGAGAAATAGTAGCTAACCACCCCCCTCTGAAAATGTATTTTGTAATCAAAAAGTTGATTAGAGAAACAAAATTATCCTTAAAAGAGTCGATGTGTGACCTAAGCAACGCCCCCAAGCACTTGGGTGTTTATGGTCCATAAAATTAAGATTCTTCCCTAGCAGGGTACCACCTCCCAACTCTCCCACTCACCCCTCCCAACCTCCCCTCCCCCACCAAGAGCTGCCTCCTATCAAGTATTAGCTGGGGCTGTGCAGGGAGAGAAGGGGCGGGAAAGAGCAGAAGATGAACTTCTACCAGGGAGTAAATATATAGAACTAGAACGTCTGCACACCCAGAGCCAAAAGCAGGGACAGGTGGTTCTTGGGAGTCTTGCTGGATCAAAGTCTTTCTGACTGGAATATACATTTCATGAACCACTATAAAAATCAAAGAGTTGTAGCACAAGTACTAACGAAAATGAAAGGTGACTTTCAGCGTCTTTTCAGGCAGCTCACAAAGCAAGAGCTCTCTGCATTAATGGGCCCATCAGTCAAACAAGGTAGCACTTCGGAGGACTGCATCCAAAGAAGGCACAAAGGGTCAGCGTGGCCCTGTGCTGGTTCTTCATTTCCCTCAATCGCTGCGGAGTGGGGACTGGAACGTGGCAAGAGGGAAGATGGGCTCTGTCCCACGGACCTTTCCCTTGAGGCTCAGCACATCACATGCAATCATCCATCTGTCCCACACTCTAACCCCTGCACTCTAGAAGATGGGAGTCCCAACAGTTCTCCACAGGTATCCTCAAGAAAAGACCGGGTTCATTCCAGGAACATGGAGTCTGTGATGACTTCCAGGCTAATCTGCACCCCTGCCTCCACTCTCTGCCGGGTTCCCTCCTTGCTCCCACCCCCCCACCCCCTCACCTCTACAGTGAGAGGGAGAGGAGAAGCGGCACTTCAGGTATGCCCTGGAATTAACTGGGCAAGAACCGCAAGCAGAAAGAGAAATAGAGAGTCACTTAAAATCCAAGAGAGGGAACAGCAAGTTTTCTGTTTAGAAAGAATAAGCAAGTTTCCATTTAGAAAGAAAGCCAATTGATGAGATCGGAAGGCGATGAGGAAGAACCTTCTACAATCAACCCTTCACTGAATGGGTATCTCTCAATGGGGGAGGTGAAAGCTACTGGGTGAGCAATGACCCAGGAGTCACAATGACTGCCCAAAAAGTGGGCTTAACAATTCTTTTTTTTTTTTTTTAAAGATTTTATTTATTTATTTGAGAGAAAGAGAATGAGAGATAGAGAGCACGAGAGGGAAGAGGGTCAGAGGGAGAAGCAGACTCCCCGCCGAGCAGGGAGCCTGATGTGGGACTCGATCCCGGGACTCCAGGATCATGACCTGGGCCGAAAGCAGTCGCTTAACCAACTGAGCCACCCAGGCTCCCTTAACAATTCTTAATTAAATCTTTGGAACAAGAAAAGTTTAGAGAAATCAGGAAGAAAATTTCTCTTATCTACTGGGGTGTCCAAAAAGGTGTGCTAAAACTCCCGCAAATGGATGAAAGGCAAAGAAAAAGCCCACATGACAATGAGTTTGTAAACCAAGAAGACCTGTGCCTGTTTAACTCACAGGTCCTAGGCAACACCATACCGCACGCAGAACACAGGCAACTCCTCCACACAGCACGTGATGGTTCAGACAAGGGACGTAACCTAGGAGTCAGCCAGGTGGGACAAAGATACTCAGAAAGCACTAGTACACCTGCCTTCTGGAACACGGAGAGGCTCTTGTCATCTAAGGAAAACTGACGATAATTTTACAAAGCTTGAATAATTCATTTCACCTAAGACTTCTATCCTGAGTCCTCTGTTCCCTCCTCCAGGTGTCTGATGTAATAGTATTTTACTTCCGTAATTTGTGCAGGTAAAGAGCAGAGTCAGCTGAAATATCTTCCTCACCTCGGTGAGCTGCAGTCTAGATCAGGGGTTAGCAAAACACAGCCCAAAGACTAAGAAGTTTCTACATTTTTAAATGGTTGGAGGGGGGCCTGGGTGTCTCAGTTAAGTGTCCAACTCTTGCTTTCGACTTAGGTCATGATCTCAGGGTCGTGAGATCGAGCTCAGAGTGGAGCCTGCTTGAGATTCTCTCTCTCTCTCTTTCTCTAAAATAAAAAAATAAATAATAAAAATAAAAAAGTAAAAAAAAATTTTTAAATACATTTTTAAATGATTGGGGGAAAAAATCAGAAGAATAACATTTTGTATTAAACGAAATTCAAATGTCAGTGCTTTTAGTGTTTCCTTGAAAGAGTCCTGCTCATCATTTCCGTGTCATTCATCCATGGCTGCTTTTGCATGACAATGGCAGAGTTTAAGGAGCTAAAACAGAGCCATGGCCTAAAACAAAGCCTAAAATATGTGCTAGCTGGGCCTCTACAGAAAATGTCTACTCTTGGTCTAGATACCTAGAAACTTAATGGTCATAACTTTGACCCCTAAATCAGTCAGGATGTAGAAAACTTTGAAGAGGTTGGGGAGTGTCTGAAAAGTCAAACAGAACTTGGGCTTGGTCCAAAGGCCGGGGACAGGCCCTGGGCACTCACCCAGCACACCCAGGGGACTCACCAGTAGAAGTGCTCCTCCACCATCTTGGTCACTGCTCTGGAGATGGCTCTTTCGTGAGGGCCAAGGTTTTTGTTTAAATTCACTCCAAGTTTCTCTTCCAGAAAGTCAATTATGAATTCTGTGCCAGAAACTTTTTCATGATTATATTCAATCCAAGGCATTTTCCCTTGAGCAGAAAGTTTTCCACCAAAATAATTCTAAGCAGAGTAAATTTTAAAAAGAAAAAAGCAATGTTTTATTTAAATTTCACTGTATGGTTAACAGAAACAAACATTCCAACCCTATATTTGATCATGGCTGTACTTGCTCAAGTGAATGAACTCAGCACATAAACTCTTTAAGACCATAAATAGTCACTCTTGAAGGAAAAAAAAAAAAAAGGATTTACCTCACATGAAGATATTACTTTACTCCCATAGATTTTATCATGAGCTCTGGTATATTGTTACAAAAAAGACCAGAGAGGAGAGGTAGTGCTGAAATGATCCTGGTAACAGTTGGTCTAGTTATAATGTAAGAACAAGCCACAGATGCAAAACAGTGAAAGTAAACTGTAATAAGGCTCACATTGGCCAGGCTACTAACCAAAGACCTCATCTGAAACCCACCAGCTTATGCCTAAATAATGCTTAATACCACTACACTGCAAACAAGTGGTCCCAGAAATTATAACACTTACGTATAAGAATGTGCATCCAATAGATTCAACTCCAGTACCAGCTAAAATGTAGATTCCTGGGTCCCAGCTCACATCAGAATCCCAGGAACGGTGCCCAGAACTCTGTATCTATGATACGTTCCCCTCTGATTCACACTCGTGCTAGAATCTTACAGTGTCTCAGAGGACATGGTCCCAGATGGGGTGGAGTCGGGGTGAGGGAGTCACACACTTTATGAACACTGGGAATTAAGAGTGACATTTGCTGCCCCCACTCCTTGGCCAGGCACTAGACATTCCCCTTGATGTTGCCCAGGAGAAATGTCACATACCTCTAAAAGTTGCTGGTACATCAAACATTCTTGTAATTTGTACACTAAAGATGTAAATTTACCATATAACACAGCACCTGTTTCAGATTAACTCTTGATTACCACCCATATCATCCTAACACATCCCCTTCAGGACTCTTGTCATTTGCAGACAGATTCTACCCTGCACACCGACATCAGAGGAAACTGTTTGCAATGCAAATGAGATACAAGATCTCTGCTGCTCAAAAGTACCCAGTGGTTTTTTAATGGGTCTATTCTAACCCCTTCCACATAGCAGTCTAGGCCTATACCATCTAGCCACTGCCTGTCTGCCCAGCCTCCTTGCTATCAACCCCTCCAGTCTTCTGAATTCCAACTGCCCACACCCAAACACATCAAAGTCTTTGCCACCTCTCTGACTTTGTACACGCTTTACCTTTTATAGGAATCCTTTTCCCCAACCTCTGCCAAGTCATATCCATCCTAAAATATTTAGTTCAAATTTCACCTTGTTGGTGAACTATTTCCCCAAGGTGCAACCATCACTTCCTTTCCTCCATGCTTCCACGGTACAGTGTATATTCCCCTCTTCTTATAATATTAGTGTTTGTACCTCTGCCTTTCCCTCTTCCCCCGCCCTTCCTGAGCATTTGGTACATTTTATCTAGACCTCTTTGAAAAACTGGAGTAACAAAAATTAATTATTGATTCTTATGGAAATGAAAGTTCTAGTAGGTTTTTGTCATCAAAAATTTTATTTTTAGATGCAGAAAAAGTATTTGGCAAAATTCAACATCCATTCATGATAAAAAACTCAACAAAGTGGGTATAGAGGGAACACACCTCAAGAGAATAAAGGCCATATATGAAAAACCCACAGCTAACATCGTACTCAGTGGTGAAAAGCTGAAAGTTTTTCCTCTAAGATCAGGAACAAGACAAGGATATCTACTCTTGCCACTTTTATTCAACATAGTACTGGAAGTCCTAGCCACAGCAATCACACAAGGAAAAGAAATAAAAGGCATCCAAATTGTTAAGAGGAAGTAAAACTGTCATTATTAGTAGATGACATGATACTGTATATAGAAAACCCTAAAGGCTCCACCAAAAATCTGTTAGAATAAATGGTCTATGGCCATACCACCCTGAATGAGCCCGATCTTGTCTGTTAGAATAAATGAATTCAGTAAAGCTGCAGAATATAACATTAATATACAGAAACCTGTTGCATTTCTATACATTAATAATGAAGTAGCAAAAATAAATATTAACAATCCCATTTACAATTGCATCAAAAGAGAAAAAAAAACCTAGGAATAAGTTTAACCAAGGAGGTAAAAGACCAAAACTCTGAAAACTATAAGACACTGATGAAAGACACTGGAGACTACACAAATAAATAGAAAGATATACCATGCTCATGGATTAGAAGAATTAATATTATTCAAAGGTCCATACTACTCATAGCAACCTACAGATTCAATTCAATCCCTACCAAAATACTATTAATATTTGTCAAAGAACTGGAATGAATTATCCTAATTTGTACAGAACTATAAAAGACCCTGAATAGCCAAAGCAATCTTGGGAAAGAAGAACAAAGCTGGAGGCATCACACTCCCTGATTTCAAACTATACTACAAAGGTACAGTAATCAAAACAGTATGGGTACTGGCATAAAAGCAAACACATTGATCAATGGAACAGAACAGAGTGACCAGAAATAAACCCATGCTTATATGGTCAATTAATCTACAAGAAAGGAGGCAAAAATATACAATGGAAAAAAAGTCTCTTCAATAAACGGTGCTGGAAAACCTAGAGAGCTACATGCAAAAGAATGAAACTGGACAACTTTCTTATACTACACACAAAAATAAACTCAAAATAGATTAAATACTTAAATGTAAGACCTGAGACCATAAAACTTCTTTTTTTTAAAGATTTATTTATTTATTTATTTATTTGAGAGAGAGAGCATGAGAGGGGGGAGGGTCAGTGGGAGAAGGAGATTCCCTGCCGAGCAGAGAGCCCGATGCGGGACTCAATCCCAGGACTCCAGGATCATGACCTGAGCCGAAGGCAGACACTTAATGACTGAGCCACCCAGGCGCCCTGAGACCATAAAACTTCTAAAAGAAAATGTAGGCAGTAATCTCTTGGACATCAGCCTTAACAATATTTTTCTGGATCTGTTTCCTCAGGCAAGAGAAACAAAAGCAAAAATAAACAACTGGGACTAAACTAAAAAGCTTTTGCACAACAAAGGAAACCATCAACAAAACAAAAGGGCTACCTACCAAATAGGAAAAAATATTTGCAAATGATATATCTAACAAGGAGTTAATGTCCAAAATATATAAAGAACTCCTACAACTCAATACTAAAAAAAGAATAATAATAATAATAATAATCTGATTTCTAAAAGGTCAGAGAACCAGGACAGGCATTTTTCCAAAGAAGATTTAAATAGCCAACAGATGCATGAAAAGATGCTCAATGTCACTAATCATTAGGGAAATGCAAATCAAAACCACCATGAGATATTACCTCACACTAGCCAGAATAGTATCAAAAAGTCAAGAAACAACAGGTGTTGGCAAGAATGTAGGAAAAAGGAGGGCGCCTGGGTGCCTCAGTTGGTCGGGCGACTGCCTTCGGCTCAGGTCATGATCCTGGAGTCCCGGGATCGAGTCCCACATCGGGCTCCCTGCTCAGCGGGGAGTCTGCTTCTCCCTCTAACCATCTTCCCTCTCGTGCTCTCCATCTCCCATTCTCTCTCTCTCAAATAAATAAATAAAATCTTAAAAAAAAAAAAAAAAGAACGTAGGAAAAAGGAAACCCTCATGCACTGTTGGTGGGAAACTTAACTGGTGCAACCACTATGGAAAACAGTATGGAGGTTCCTCAAAAAATTAAAAACAGGGGCACCTGGGTGGCTTAGTCAGTTATGTGTCTGACTCTTGGATTTGGCTCAGGTAGTGATCTCAGAGTCGTGTAATCAAGCCCCGCGTTGGGCTTTGCACTCTGTGCAGAGTCTGCTTGAGTTTTTCTCTCCCTCTGCCCCTCCCCCTGTGTGCACTCTCTCTCTTTCAAATAAATAATAAATAAATCTTTTAAAAAAATTAAAAACAGAAACACCATACAATCCAGTGATTCCACTACTAGGTATTTACCCAAAGAAAACAAAACTCTAATTTGAAAAGATATATGCACCCCTATGTTTACTGCGGCATTATTTATAATAGCCAAGGTATGGAAGCAACACAAGTGTCTATCAATAAGTGAACGCATAAATAAGATGTGGGATGGATAGATGGATGGATGGATGGATAGATAGATAGATAGATAGATAGATAGATAGATAGATAGAATGGAATGGAATATTACTCAGCCATAGAAAAGAATGAAATTTTGCCATTTGCAACAATATGGATAGACTTAGAGAGTATTATGCTAAGTGAAATAAATCAGACAGAAAAGACAAATACCATCTCCTTTATATGTGGAATATTATATGTAGAATCTAAAAAAACCAACCAAACAAACCAGAAACAGACTCATTAATAGAGAAAACAAACTGGTGGGTGTCAGAGGGAAGGGATGTAGGGGTTAGGCAAAATACGTGAAGGGGATCAAGAGGTACAAACTTCCAGTTATAAGATCATGGGGATGAAAAGTACAGTATGGGAAATATAGTCAATAATATTGTAATAACTTTGTATGGTGACAGATGGTAACTACACTTATTGTGGTGAGTACTTTGTAATGTATATAATTGTCAAATTGTTGTGCCCCTGAAACTAACGTAACATTGCATGTCTATTATACTCCAATAAAAATAAAAATAAAAAAGATCAACTGCTTGCTTCCTAGATAAAAAAAAATAGGAGACAACATTTTAGAGACACTATGATCATATCTAATTAAAAATTAGATGAATTCAAAAAATATTAAAAAGAGAAACACAAAAATGTTTAAAGTAATTGGCAAGAGTATGAGATGCAGATGATCTTTCCATGAACTTCAATTTTTCAGAATTGGTTATATTAGTGTTAAAATAAAAACATATCTTTTAAAAATAATACTTAATTTTCCTTAACTTCCTTAAATATATTCAAGAACTCCTGGCCTGTTTTATTTAAGCAATTGGAGTCTGACTGGCCCACTGAGGGCAATTTCTGAAAGTAGTTTTGAGAAGAAACATGAAGAGGTAAATCCT